AAGAATGGGGATTGAGTTATAAAAAACCGTAGAAGTCAGTGTTTAAAATAAGACTATTTGTCGTAGTATTTTATGTCGCTTCAGGATTTTTCGATCTTTGGTGCAGGATCAAATACTCTTAACATAAAGCTATACAAGAAACTACATATGAAAAGGTATCGTAACCTGGATCAATCCAAATTGTGCCATATTGAGTCAAATCACCCATAACCTCAAAAATATGTTTTTTCGAATACATTTTTCATGGACGCAATTTTTCTCAAAAATTTGCGAAAAAATTACCGATGCTACATTATCATATTCTACAAAACCGTGATTTTTCCATTGATCGGTGGAACGTATAGGTTCGAGAACAAAGATTTTAATACTTTTTCAAATTTTTGGTTAGGTAATGAAAAGTTCTCAAACTTAAAAATCCACTGCTTTCTTGCGTTCTTTTCAGATCCTCTAATAAAATCATCAAAATCACAAAAAAATTGAAATCTCCAATAAGGTAAACGTAAGGTAACTAATTATAAGTTGGCTAAATTGAAAACTCGACAAACACGTGTAGTTTTGTCCATACTTTCAGGTTCCTTAGTCAAAATTCTGATTTTTCAAAAGTCGGAAAAAACCTATTTTCCCTAATATTTTTCAATGTTGACGTTCTTGGTCAAGAAACGAATACTTGGATAACATGGTAGTCCATTGTATAGAATCGCCAATAATCGGAAAAACCGTCTTTTTATCGGTTTTCCCAATTTTAGACATCTTTAGAGTATGATTATGGAATCATTCGCTAACTCAAAGGCTCCATCCACTCATATGTGTATAGTAGGTTTTTAAGTTAGCTAGGCAGTCCTTTGTTGACCTACAATGCACAAAAACACAATGCACGTTGGGATTTTGAGTCAAGTTGGATTATCTTAATCTAAAGGTGTTAAGAATCGAGAAATGCCAGCAAAAATACGGTTTTTCCAATTTTTTTCATTTTATGGATAAGAAATTATTTTATTTACAACAGAACTGAAAACAATCTGAAACGTGTATATACACAATGGTTTAATAAGTTAGGCAAGTATTCCTTTCTTAACAAAAAGCGTCAGAACTGAAGAAAATCAGTGAAAAAACGGACTTTCCTATTGTCTCAATTTGTCGAGAAACAATAAGATTTATGGTATCCAATGTTTGAAAAGTTAAAAATTGGATAAACACGGTGAAAATGTGGTTTCTCCGGATTTTCGATCTCGCTTGTGGATCCGGAAAGAACACAAGAATTGATATAGAAACAGCAGATTTTCAGGTTTGCGCATTTTCGTTACCTAACCAAAAATTCTAAAAAAATTCCATTTTTTTTCTCGACACTATACGTTCCAAAAATCTAAAAAAAATCATGATTATGATATACTAAGTGACATATAAATGCGAACACCCAGTTTAAATGGTTTTATATTAATAAAAGTTGGTGAATGTATTTATCTTACTGTAAATAACAAGAGAAAAAACTTTCAGCCTTATCAGTTGGACATTCCGGTTTTTATACTGCTTTTTTTAATTCACTAACGCTCTAAAAATGAATATTTCAGCCACAGTAAAGAATCAACGTTGGCGGATTTTGGTTCTTGACATCCTTCACGATCGGTTACGATACCTAGAGTACGGAGACCTGTACGATTTCGTCAACTTAGTGAGTTTGATTGGGGCTGTATAGTGGGACTTCGGGAAGCTGGACCTTCTTTTCGGGCAATTGCAGTTAGAGTGCAAAGAAGTGTAGACACTGTGGTTAGGTGTTGTCAGGCATGGCTTCGAGAAGGCCGTACGCAAAGAGCAAGGGGCACTGGACGCCGCCGTAGAACAACAGACCGTGAAGATCGCCGCCTAAGATTATTGGCCTTATGGGACCGTTTCTCCACTACCAGGTCCATTGCAAATGAATGGTTTGCAGAACACGGAAGACCTATTGGCATGCGAAGTGTTTACCAACGAATGAGAAGTTTTGGCTTGTTTTCATACCGGCCACACTGGGTCCTCCCTTCAACTCGAGAACACCGACGTAATCGCCTTGAGTGGTGCAGACAACGGTCACTCTGGGATCAGGAATGGAACAGTATTGTCTTTAGTGACGAGTCTCGATTTTGTTTAGGCATGCACGATGGTCGTGCCAGGGTTAGAAGGCGACGTGGTGAAAGGAGGAATCCACAGTTTTTTGTTGAAAGACATGTTCATCACACTGTTGGAGTTATGGTTTGGGGTGCTATAGCTTATGGTTCCAGGACACCTTTAATCTTCATCAGAGGTAACATGAACGCGCAGCGTTATATCCACGAAGTTCTAGAACCCCATCTTTTACCCTATCTTGACACCCTGGCAGATCCAACTTTCCAACAAGATAATGCCCGACCACATGTTGCAAGAGTCACAATAGACTTCTTTCAACATAATGATGTCACATTGTTACCATGGCCACCAAGATCTCCCGACTTATCCCCAATTGAGCACGTGTGGGATATGATGGGTAGGAGATTGCTCAATTTGCAACGTCCTCCTCAGACTCTAGAAGCACTTCGAGAGGAGTTGGTGGTTACCTGGAATGAGATACCACAGGACATTGACCACCTGATCAGAAGCATGCCTAGGCGCGTTGGAGAATGCGTAGCACATCAGGGTGCATCCACACATTATTAAAGGTCAAAGGGCTTTAAAGCAGTGCAAACATTTTGAAATTTTTATCATTTACTTATTATGCTTCATTAAATACTTATACAAAATTTTATTAAAATAAAACCATTTAAACTGGGTGTTCGGATTTATATGTTACTTAGTATATTATAACGTAGTGTCGATAAATTGTTCAAAACTTTTTGAATAAAATTGCGACAGAAAAAAATTATTTTTGACAAAACGCGTTTCTACGGTTAGCAGCCTATCGATATGAGACTGTTGTCAAAGTGATGACCCAATATGGCTCAATTTGATTTGATCCAGATTTGGGTACCTTTGTATTTTCATCTATAGCCTCTGTATTAGTGCGATTCTGCACTTAGGAAAAAGTTTAATTAAACCAATTGAAATTTTAATTGGCCCAACTAAAAATTTTGATTAACTATGTGACAGCTAACAAGTTTAGTTAGTCTAACAAACAGAACAAACTGCATTCTACTGAATGACGTAAGTGTATATTATAATTGCACTGACAAATTTTAGATATAAAAAAAATCGAAAAACTTGAAATTGATAATTGATGTTTTTGAATCAAAACAAAAACTTCCGAATTTTGTAACGCTAAGAAAACTCGATATTTTTATTTTCATTAATTGTGGCTAGAAATGGGTTATAATATAAGTTATAATATAGAAGATCAAGTTTCATCAATAATTTGATTGAGTGTCCAGAAACAGAAACAATCCTTTGTTTTAAATTCAGAAAGTAGGGAGAATGATACCTGGAACTGAATAAGGCCGCTTGATCATGTATACTTTTATTTCTCACTGATCGAAAATTATTTGTCAAATCGCCCACAATCTGTGCAGATATCAGGATCATTTAGTAAAGAAATGTATATTAAGTGTGGTGTCCCTCAAGGAACTGTCTTAGGTCCGCTGTTATTCAATATATATTTAAATGATATTTTCCAAATTAATTGTGTTGGCAAAATAACTAGTTTTGCAGATGATACTGCAATATTATATGAAGATACTGACTGGTCTGATCTGAAAAATGTAGTTGAAAATGATTTTATCAAAATTATTCGGTGGTTTAACAGTAGAAAATTAAGCATTAGCTACTCTAAAACACATTTTTTACCATTCGGATCTTATGCTAGACATCTGCCAAATTACACAAATTTCTCCTTCAACATTAATGATCAAAAAATGCAAATTAATAGAGTGCCCAACATAAAATACCTTGGAGTGGTCTTGGATCCTCACTTACGATGGGACATCCGTGTCAATTATATTTTAAACAAAGTTAGATTTGTATCCTACAAAATTAAATACCTTGGGAATATATTGACAGAAAAATATCTTCGAACATTATGCTATGCACTGATTGAGCCTCATCTCACATATGGTATATTAGCATGGGGAGCTGCATGTTCCTCACATATCTATAGTTTAGATGTTTTTCAAAAAAGTATTCTAAAAATGATATTTAAAAAATCGAAACTTTATCCCACTGAAAAATTATACGCAGATGTTCGAATGTATGATATAAGACAGCTTTATTTCTTACACAGTATCACTCACTACCATAAATTTGTAAACACCGACCAAAGAATTAAACATAATCATACCAGGTACAAAATTCGTGGCACAGTAGTTCCTCAACCGCATAAATCTATAATGCAGCGATCATATCTCTATTTAGCGCCTAAATTTTATGAAATTATACCTAAAGACTTAAAAGATTTACGCTTCGGAAATTGTTTCAAAAGAAATTTAAAAAAGTGCCTACATTCTATATCTAGGACTGAAATTCATAAACTCATAAATACGAACATCAACTAAATACATAATCTACTGTAGCTAATTTTTGTCCTTTTGTGTCATTTGCATTCTACAGTTTCAACTTAAATTATTGGTCCATGTACAGGCGATGCATTCTATTGGGCCTGTTTTGATTTTAAATTTATTTACTCATATTGTTTGTTATCTTTGTACATTGAGTGAATAAGTATTATTATTATATTTCTATATGGCATACTTCCGAATGAAGGCCGAGTCCTGCCGAGTCCGCGGAAAAATGAACAGTTTAAGTATTTTGATTAAAATGTTTGTTTGTCTTAAATGTACCATTTTTATACAAACTAAAGTATCTAAACTAATTAAACAGTCTAATTAAACGGCTATGGTAGCTATTTCTAATTAAGCTCCTTCGAGAATTTGAAACAATTAAAAAATGTATTTCGGGTAATGAAAAGGTTCCAGCAAAACTGTTTCATTGACTGCGTTTTCTTAGTCTGCATAGATTTATACTGATGTGTGGGAAGTAGGGTTAAAGTTCTTAATTTTTTGTTCTAGGTATGCTCGTACTTCAAAGATCCCCTGGTCTGCATAGGTCCAGTGGCAACCGATCAAATCAAGAACGCAGTGCAGCACACCGCTGGTGAGAAACGACTCACAGGATTAGCCAACTTCAAGAGACCGATGCACTAAACTCCACAATGATCTAAGATCCAAGAAATCTTTTTTTTTTCAGTTGCGCTGACTCAGAGCACCGTTTCTCGGAGGTATGACTGCTAAGGTTCAAAATTCATACAGAAAGAAGCAGTTAATAAGGAGAATGTTTGAGATACTAAAAGTAAGCAAGACGCTAGCGATCAGTTGCTTCAAATTTCTATTGCTATATCAGAATCTAGAAAGCGTGGCCATACTAAAAGTTGGATACTCCACGTCATGAGACATACTCAATTACCTTAAATTTTTAATAGATCATCGTGGCTTACAATTGGAAAATACATGAATGATTCAGACTTTCTATACACTGGTTACAATGACACAAAAAGGTAATAGTGGCTCAGGATTTATCTGATATCAAACAACTTCAAGATGTCTTAGCAGTAATAGCAAAAATTGCAAAAAAGCAACAGGTCTCATATATCTAGGTCACTTGATTCCTATCTCTTTTAATTTATGAAGTACCAAATTAAACTAAAAATGACGATTTCAATAAACTGTATATCAAGATTTGAGCATTCAAATGATGGATCGTGGTTTGCCTCTTTATTTGAACTTTTTAGCTAACCAGACAATGGCCACCTTTGGACTGAGAAATTGACAAAGACTCCATATTTTTTTAGCATTAATGCTCTACCAACTCGGTATATCCACATGTTTTTATTCATCAACCCACGAATGTCCACAATAATCCACAACGATAAACTCACCTATATCTTTGTATTATTAAAAAAGTAAGCTCACTCGCCATGTTTATAAATGTTTAGTCATAGTGATATTTGTGGTGTCACCGATGTTCTTGTCTATCTGTCGTGTGTTCATCATTGCCTGGTTTAGTTTTTTAATTTTCTCTACATTAAAACCCTCATTGGCTCTAGTTGTTTATCGCATGCTTCAATAAGTCCCAAATGAAATTTATCTCGGTAAACGAGACAACACGATGAGATGGATGCAAGGTATGGTGATATTAGCAATAATAGTAATAGTATCGTAGTCATCGAATAGATCTTAGTAATCCCAGTTCTTTTTTTGACAAAGTCAAGATGAAGTTCAAAGGTCCATGCTCTAACGAATTTATTCATTCATTCATTATCAAAATCGGAAGCCATTCAAATGAGACATAGACGGATGACAGAAATAAATTCTTCTACACCACCACGCAAAATTAAGTAGACAAACAAAATTTTTTTCAAATTAAATTTGAAATAACTCTTTAACCCGTGGATCAATTTCGTTAATTTTTGTCAAGTTGTAGGTAATTCCATTGTCATCATTATCGCCTATCGATATTGCAAAAAAATGTTGAAAATGTTTGTTGTTATACAGGGTGTAACTAAAAGGTGCATTTTGCCCTAAATTTCTGAACACCCTGTGGAAACATTGGATTACTGAATAATGTGTCTTCGTATTAGAATTTTAAGCCTCAACTATTCTCAACAGTTCTTTTTTTGGTTCATTTCAATATCTCAATTATTGAAGAATATATGCTGTTTTGAAGAAAGTCATGCGAATCATAGCATGGCATGTCAAACAGATCCTTGTCAAGCAATGTTCAACAAAAATAACACCGGAACAAGTAGCGCAAGCTGTAGCTTTACAAGATGATGGTAGCAAAGATTTAGAGCAACTGGTTCTTACTCAAGGAGACCTGGGCAAGGAAGAAAGAAAGCAACAAACGCAGTTGAAGATCGGTTTCTGGGACTTCAACCTCTTCGAGAAAGGATAGTTCCTGCTACAGCTTCAACTCGAAGATTGGATAATGTTCATGGTACCATAGTTTCCACCAGATCCCGTACGCCGAAGGTAGAGAGAAGAAAACCTGTCATCTTGTGTACCTGCTACAGGTCCTCTATTGTTTATTGCTATGATTCGCATAATTTTCTTCAAAACAGCATATATTCTTCAATAATTGAGATATTGACATGAATCAAAAAAGGAACTGTTGAGAAAGGTTGAAGCTTAAAAATCTTATATGAAGACACATTATTCAGTAATACAATGTTTCCACAGGGTGTTTAGAAGTTCAGTGTACAGTACAGTTATACCCTGTATAATATATATAAAAATGGTTAGAAAAACTTGAGAGCACAAAAATACCACACCCTCTGACAGATTTCGATTGTTGTCGCGATCTGGTTATAAGGTTGTGGCTCCTACAACACTCAGTAGGCTGATGCTGAATCTGAGCAGTCATACCTCCAAGATAACTGCTGTTCTCTATATCTATCTAATGATAACATGGTTCGAATCACTATACATTTACCAAAATATCGTTAAATATATAGTATATTTTTTCACACTTTAAAGATCATTATATAGAACAGAATATCATTTATGAGCCCTGAAAAGTGTTTCGTATCATGTGACTAACATATAAAGTCTATTATAGTTGTACGTGTAAAAACTTAGGAAATTGGCTGAGGTATTTATATATTTAAGAGTAATATTTTAATCATTGATATTATTTTGGCCTAGATGTAAAATTATACTGATAGATTTTGACGTAGCTAGTGTTATAGATTCTACAGATCTTTGTATAGAAATGTTTTTTGTCTTGAATTTTATCCTATCTAACTGTGATTTTGAAGATGTGTATCATAGACATTTTTTGAGGCTGGCATGCTGGAACCACACGAAATTTTGACGGAAAGTTTACATAACGTTAATGGTCAAAAATGTCCATGATTTACTGAATGGATGTAATTCAACTATGAAGGTAATTTTTTTCCTCGTTGGATCGAGATAAATACATATCATAAGATACATATCATATTATATTGATGTTATATTTAAAAATAAATGTATATGAGCAATTTCACATTTCCGAGATGTACTTCTTTATTTAACCTGATCCTTGAACGCCTTTTCATTTACGAGGTCTGTACATTAAGTGATGAGACTGGTTTTTTTAACCTTTTTTGTTTGTTGAAGATTTATTTAGCATTAATGCTACAATGCCAATATTGTATATTGATTCGGTTACATATTTTTCTTCAATCCATTTTCTGTAATTTTACATTCCTGTCTATCAAAATTACATCACTATGCCTTTTGATTATTCATAAAGTGATTTTTTAATTCCACCTTAAACATTTTTAAATTCCAACACTGTTTAATATCATTATTCAGTTTACTAATTCAAATACTCCCTTTTGAAATATAGATTTACTAGTTATGCTACTATTACAATTTTGCAGATGAAAATCTATACTGCCTCTAGTTTCCTAGTTAGGATAATGACAATTTAATTCTGTGAATTTTTCTAAAGATGGTGGTAGTAAATGATATTTTAATTTGAATTTGAAAACGAGAACTAAATATATGAAATTTTTCACATTCAACCACTGTAGTCCTTCTAACATAGACTTAATCCTAGCACATGTGTTTTTATTTAAAATGATTCTCATAGCTTTGTTTTGTAGAATTTGTAATTTTGAAAATATGTCTTCATTTGCTATAAACAAAATGGTTGAACAATATAAAAAATGGGGAAGAATTATAGTGTTATACACAATTTTTTTGGAATACATACTAAGATTATGGGAACTCTATAGAAGTAATTTATTTTGTTTGATATTTCTGAAATAATGTACTCATAATGCTCGTGAAACAGTAGCTTACTATCCACATATATGTATATACCAAGATATTAAAATGATTCGACTACTTCGATTTTTTCATCATCAATCATGAGCCTAATTGTATTGTCACCTAAATGTTTCCCTATTCAAATAGATTTTGCTTTATTATTGTTTAATTTAAGTTGACATTTAACCAATTCAGAGTTTTTTTAATATCACTATTTCACAGTTCTAAAGCAGTGTCCAAATGCTTATCTGCTATATATATATATATATATATATGTTACCGCTAATATCCAAAATCCGCTAATATGCATAAAAACTACACATAATAGGAATTATGCGTAAATACGAAAACCGTCGGTTAGTATGTAAAATAACGGCGCGTATCAGGAATTATTAATAAGTACTAAAATAATCAGTTATTATGCATATTCACTATCCAAATTAGAAATTATGCGTACGTACTGAAGCTACCAATATCTTATGTTAGTGATTAAGCATAACATCACGTAACGTCTTTAACTAAGTAACGTCAAATTTGAAATGCTATGTAGTTAATGATAAAATAGAAATATATTACGAGTAAGTATACTATTACATAACATTTAATATATATGTAATTCTACAAAACTATATGGTATCTTCATTATTTTCCTTTCCCGTTTGCCCTTTATTTCGCGTTACAAGCTTTTCAATATTTCCGACTTCAACTATTCCAAATCTTTTAAGTCTACGATACTGTAATGGAGTTTTGGGACCATTATTTGATGAAGCATCCCTAATCTAGAGAAAAACATCAGGAATTAAACGTTAAAATATAGGCACTATATTAGTTTAAAATAATTCTTACCCCGGATAAAAGCACGTCATATTCTTCCTTGAATAAAATGTTCAATCGTGAGTTTGTTCTTCCCTTCAACTTCTTAACTTCATCGACAAATTTAAATTTAATGTTATCAATAGGTAGTGCAGTCATTGATGAGAAACTCCAACAACAAAACAATCAAAAAATAACCTCAAACTTCAACGCACGCTTCAAGGCACGACCAGTCGTATTTTGTGAGGTTACATGTATAATCACTAATATACACAGCAGATATTATGCATAATTCCTATTGCTGTGTCAGTTATTATCAATATTTACTAAAAACATGGCGATACTTTGCATAATTACTGACGATTTTAGTAGTTATCGATAATTCCTGATACGCGCCGTTATTTTGCATACTAACCGACAGCTTTAGTATTGACGCATAATTCCTATTATGTCTAATTATTATGCATATTAGCGGATTTTGGATATTAGCGGTAACATATATATATCAATGCATCGTCCGCAAAAACACAGGCAGATAGTAACCACTTTTATTAATTCAAGATTGTGTAGTGCCACCATGACTGTACTCATATACGCCGTACAGAAATACGCCAAACATGCACCTCATATAATTTGAAAAGTACACGAATTATTTTTTTTTATTTTTCTGGTAACTATAAACTTATGACTTGGCCTATATCCCGTTTTCTGCTTACGTGGACTTCTGTGACACCATGTATACAAGGTTACTACTACGTTTTTCTATAAAAAAAAATGTGAGTCCATGGAGCAGTTGCCATATCAGCTTAAACTGAAACCACATTGCATTGCTTTTTTGTCATTTTAATTTGCTGCTTCCCTTTCACACGAGCACTCGTACAGCAATGAAAACTATGAAACAAAGTAAACAAAATGAAGCAAAAATCGAAAAGTAACGTAAAAAGGTACGTGTGTAAGATATTCCCGCGTTTCTGCTAAAAAAATCTTTACCCAAATGTACCCAAGGATAATTTTGGTTTAGTTCTCTCCAAATTAGAATTGGTCCCGCTACAATCGCCAGCAGTTGCCCGTGTCTTTAGTGTTAACAGTCTCTGAAAGGCAGCTTGTTTAAGCTTTCGACAATTTTTATTTTCATCAAAAAAATCTAGTTGTACCCTATATCTCAAAATCCGTCAATCCATTCAACTTTAAAATTGAAATTTTCGATCAAAATTCGACATTTTGGTTTTATGAAACTTTAGTACACCCAGTGTCACTTGCGCTGTCAAAACAAATCAATCTGGAGGCACTTCATGCCAAAATCCATCAAGCCATCCCCCTGGTAGGAAATTTTTCAGCGACCACCTGTCCCCTCTCGCTATATGGGCGCCCATGTTAGCAGTAGCTTTTTGGAAAGGTGCAACAGAGTATACTTTCGATGAGCAGTGCCTTAGAGAATTTTTAGAATCATACTAAAGGTAAAGGAGAAAGAAACTGAAATGGTCAAAATTAGACAACAATCTCAATCACAAACAGTTCTTTTATTGGGACACGCACAATACCTATAATTCAAAAAATGTACACGAATTTGAACAAGCATTGACCATATCCAAAGTAGTAAGATATATTAAGGAATATAATTGCAAACAACATGGAAATACTAGAAAATCAAATGCAATTTGAACTGGGAAATAATACACTGAAACTGAATTATATGCTGAAATTCAGTGCAGTCACTTCCATCATGTATTAATTGATATCCCTAACTGTCCAGGTTCCCCACTATTCAACTATTCAGAAGAAGAATGACAAATAGACAAATTGCTTATTCTCAGTAGAGGCACAGGAAGTCAATGTGTGAATAAACTATACAATACATCAAAAAAAAAAAACGTTAAAGTTTTAAAATTCTCTAACCTGTATAGATAATAAAAAAGAAGCATTATGACATACTTGATTCAAATTGCACAATGTAAAAAAATGGTATCTATGCACCCAAAAATGTTTGTTGTTCAAAGCAACCCTCAACATGAGATTAAAACCTATAAAATCAAAACACTGCAGCACTTCCGAATGATACATCTTTTTATATTCTATCACCTATTCAAACGACCATTCAAACATGCTGTCAACTGTTCCTGTGCCTCTAGAATACGATTTGTACTTAGCTAAATTACATATTGTGCTAACTTTGAGTAACTATAATCATTTTAAATAACCTTATATACGCTTTTGACGGAAATGCCGCACTTCTCAATCCCCCACTGTCAATTTAGTCGATTTCAAGCAGCTCGACGTCGAAAATGAGGGTGGCATTTGGGGGAATAATGCCTGGATGTCCCCTGGAGCCATAAGCATAGTCTGGGGAGCAGGTCAGTTTTGCCCTCTGGCCTACGCTCATCTGTAAAGTAAATATTTTTATGTAAGACATCGGGAATACGAGGACAAAGTGATTTGCTATTCAAGTGTTGATCAGACTTTGCCAAGTTTGCATCTTATGGTGTCAGAGCGCAAGGATGTATATTCTCATCACAAAAGTATCAGATAGCACTGAATATTGCAAATAATAATAATAAATGTCAAAGTACACATTACAGTCACTTTTTTATCTGTACTGCAAAAGGCGTCTAAGCTGGCCAAGATGTTAGTGAAATAAGAACTCAAGACTACATATGCAGTTTCACTTAATGGTCCAAAACCACGAAGAATTATACACACATTGATGATCCTATTCTCTGGTTTTTAATGATTGGCCTTGAGAGGACATCTAATGAGAACCTATAAAACAAATATGACATAAGCCTCCCATATTTCAATTTTCCTGTTTAAATTGTTATTTGGCGGCACTGCACCAGACTTTCCTGTGCATCATTGTGGACACACTTATCCTGAAGTTATCTTGCTGAGAAGAATTTTATTCACAGTACCCATTAACATGAGAACTACAAATTTAACAGTTGCTTAATGTGGTGTAACACCAAAAATAGTAATCGTATCTGGAATGTGAGGTATGGGGCAGAATTCAAAAGTGGAAGCAAGTATGTCTTTAAATCATGTATAACTAGCCATCAAAATAAACAGTGTGCAATGTTCAAATTCAAGGGCTCCTACTGGCCAACAAGCCTGGCAGTCGCCAACAAGCAAATATAAGCATCAATTAAGTAATTATGTTTGGTTTGAGGTGGAGTAAATGATGATTAAATAGGAGTTTCTCCCATCCTCTTAAACAGTGTGCAATGTTCAAATTCAAGGGCTCCTATTGTCCAACAAGCCTGGCAGTTGCCAACAAACAAATATAAGCATCAATTAAGTACTTATGTTTGGTTTGAGGAGGAGTAAATGATGATTAAATAGGAGTTTCGCCCTCCTTTTAAACAGTGTGCATTGTTCAAATTCAAGGGCTCCTATTGGCCAACAAGCTTGGCAGTTGCCAACAAGCAAATATAAATATCAATTAAGTACTTATGTTTTGTTTGAGGAGGAGTAAATGATGATTAAATAGGAGTTTTGCCCTCCTTTTAAACAGTGTGCATTGTTCAAATTCAAGGGCTCTTATTGGCCAACAAGCCTGGCAGTTGCCAACATGCAAATATAAGCATCAATTAAGTACTTATGTTTGGTTTGAAATAGGAGTTGAGTAGTATATGTATTATTGGAACTTGGCTAGTGTTATAATTTAGCTATCTGTCTGCTAGTATTTTCTTTTCCAAACATGCAGTGACATTTTCATACAAAAAGTGACCAGCTTACCTGAGCAACACCCTCATCCCAGCCCTTGATAACTTCTCCCTTGCCAATCTGAAACTTGAATGGAGATCCCCTGTCTCTTGATGAGTCAAACTTTTGTCCATTTGTTAAGGTACCTGTGTAATGAACTATCACAGTCTGACCTGTTTTGGGGAAGGTTTGGCCTGAAATAAGACAAAAAAATGAGGTCGAATGTCCCACTTTTTTTCAAAAAATGATGACTCTGACTCTGCACCTTCCATGCAATGCGTATTGTCCTGTTTTTGTCCGTAGTTCAAAGCCTTTTTATCCACAGTAGTAACCTTCTGTCAAAATTTTATCCAAATCGGAGCAGTATTTTCCCAATTATAGGCGGTCTAAAGATCAACGGACAGACTGACAAAACATAATATCTCATTTTAGAATATTTTCACGATTACAATACTTCCTCGCCAGTAGGCGTGGGAAGTAAAATATTTACACCTATTTACAATAGGGATACATTTCAGTTTTATTTTCATGAATTTTTCCCAGAATTTCGTATCAAATAATAATGAAACGACGTAATTTTTCGCCTAAAAACATTTTTCATATCCATGTAAGAAAATTACAGTTTTATATTTTCAACTTGTAGAGTGACAATCGTGCAAAGAATGTAATTTACCACTTAAAGATTAAATAAAAACCGAGTGTTATTCAGTATTCATAAAGCTTTGAATATCAAAAAATATTTAAGGTGAGTTGATGAATATGCACGTATCTCACTAGAAAAATTACCATATAGTACTTATTTTCCTGTTCTTTTCAGGCAAAGTAACATTTCTTCTATACACTTTGTGACCTATTACAAAATAAATATATGGTATATTTCCATACAATAGGGAATGTAGCTATTATATCATCCAACAATTTGTCACTGATATTGATATCTAATTACAAAGCGAGAATAAAAGATAACACAGGCCCCTCTGTATATGCCACCAACTATGCATCCATACTATCTCAAAGGATCATTGGTTTGCTGTGTCTGCAACTATCCTGACAAAAAATTATGTGGCTTAAGATAGATTTTTGTTTTAACATATTACTACTGACCATTTTATAAAATATATTTGTCAAAAAAGTCAGATTGATCATCTCAATATTTAGACCCATTACATTTGAAAACCATAAATTATATTCTAACAATATATTTCTATACTACAATAGGTAATCATTTCAGTCTGATAAGGAAGTGTTGGCTAATAGTATAATTTATATAAGAGAATTATGTGGAAAATTTTAGATAAAGTGAAGGTTTGGCAACGAGTCAAATACATAATACTTTCCGCGAAAATATTGATAAGTGTAATCAATTATTGAGATGAGTTAAGACATTTTTTTGTTTATTCTCATCACTTCATCATCAAAAGATGATCAGAATATCCGATCCACAATAACTGCAAGATGAGTGATGGATCAGTTCTTGTGTCTTGACCAAAGTAATAATTTGTTGTAATCTGAATGAGAAGAAAGCATTACAAACAAGATTTTCTTTAGGTATATGATCCCCACATGTTTTAAATAGAAAAATGAGTACAGATACTTGAAAATGTGTGGAAAAACTATAAGACACAACAGTTTGGCCTTGAAATGACAATGCAGAGCATCTGTGTGTTTGTGATCCAACGACAAACCATGAGAAAAGACCTGGATAGAAACTCAGGATCCATTAGTTAGGTTGGAGAATATCAATTAGATATTTCCTAAAAGTGTATTCAACCAAATTGGGTCACAGTCCACAGAAGAACTAGAAAGACTCTTTTACGTTATACAGGCTGATTCCTTTACCTACTTTTTGTAATTGTTATCCACTTTATGTTTTAGATGTTAGATGGAAAATGTAGTTTCGATTTTTAGAGGTTTGGCCTAGAAAAAATGCCGCATGCTTGGGTGTTGCTGTACACCGTTTTTAGGTTATGTTGCAACATTTCCAAAATATCTTTTAAATGAATGGTTTTGAATAAAATAGAGCATTACACGCACAATAGTAGGGTGGATGGAACATAAACAACAAATATTATTTACAAAATTTACTTACCATCACCTGGTTTGATCGTTTCGACTTCCACACCCATGCTGGAAAAGGATACAGTTATAATTCAAGAGTTATTAAATGAAATAGAATCGAGATTAACTTACTTTGAAATCGGTGGAGAATATGTACAATTTTCCTAATAAAAATAAAAATTGGAACTATCCACAACCACTGCACTCCCAACCTTCAACAACAAAAACGGTAATTTTGGCAACCGATGATAGCGTCAAAAAGGTGAAAAATTCCTAAATCGAAGGCAGTTGCGCAAACGCAATTTATTGCTCACAGGCAACCAGTATTGCAGGACGTATACGAGGGTGGTCCAAATACTATTCAGCTGTGAATACCAATAATCTTTGGAATTCTCAACGACCGAAGAGAAATCTTATGCAAGCAGCTTGGACGTCGAAACGTCTACAAAGAAAACCTTTTTGGTTCAAAGAGCAAAACATTTTTGTGAATTCATTCTCTTGACACGGACCGAGACAATGGCTTGTGTCCCGCTTCCTCAAAAATTCTGTTATTTAATCGTAACTAGCGTTCTTCAGGAAGTCTTTTATTTCGAGAAATCTGGCTTGGAAAAGAGGACCTATGATTATCGTGGTACGAGTGCACAGTAACAATACTATAACTATCTAAAACTGTAATGACTCATCGATGTTCACGTGAACATCACTTAACTACCAGTAGTCGGCTGTTCATAGGCGGGGTATGAATGTTTAACATGGGTAAACTAGATTTGTCACATGCTTAATAAAGAGTGGTTTGAAACATATTGTTAGTCAAAAATTTGGGAATTACCTTTATTCATCGTCGCCTCCACTTACATCTGACAGTAATAAACTGTCGCTATCGCTTTCCTCGTCGAAATTGACTATAAGTGGCTCTATGATGGTGTCGATGTGGTGGTCAAGCTGCCACATTTTTGTTTCTTCCTTCACAACATGACGGATAGCATTCTGCCAAGCTTCGGGCGTTACTAGCTGTATGTAAGTCTCAAGTAAAACCTTAACGTCTGGTAATTTGTAGGTTGTGTTACGGCGCGCAATATAACCCTTTACTTGAGCCCAGATGAGCTCTATTGGGTTCAGTTCACAGTGGTAGGGCGGTAACCGCAGCACAGTGACACCACATTGACGGGCCATCTCATCAGTCACGTAACTAATGTTCGCAGGTTTGTGCTGTTTAATTTTTTCATACAATTCCGCTTTCACACATGAATCGTCAAACGGGATTCCTTTTTCACGCAACCATTGCTGCATGTCACTTTTTCGAGATCCCATAGTCGGTACACGTTCGGCTCGACGACTATGGTAGGAAGCATTATGCATGACGATCACACAATTGGGCTCAACTCGCTGAAGCACCCCTTGAACCAGCTCTCGAAGCAGCTGGCATTCATTTCGTCATGGTAATCACCTCCTTTCTTAGAGACGAAAATCAAGCCACACTCTTCTAAAAAGCCACTATCGCTACCGAAATGAGTTACGATCAATCTTTGACCTTTCCCTGACGGTCCACGAAGACCTGTTGACAAACCTTCAATGCTTGCTTGTCGGTTACTCACTACGTTTTTGTCTATCCAGGTTTTTTAACTGTGTGACCTGCATTTACCCATGTCTCGTCCAAATAATAGATTTTTCTGCTTTGTGGCCTATATTCAAACATTTCGCTTAGGTATTTTCGACGCCAGGCGACTATTTCAGGTCTCTCTATCAATACTGACTTACGCGTTTCATAACGAAAATTAATTTCGTGCGGGGATTTCCTCATTACCTCGACGCTCATTTGGGGTATAATTTCATTTTCCTTGATCGCATGTACAGCCTTGAGGGTTGGTATCTCATTCCTAAAGAAGAATGAATGTACGGTTCGCCTTAACGCCATTTTGCTATCGTCATCCAATTTAACGGCCTTTCGTCCCTTCAAATTAAACTTTGGATCAGTAGTAGCTCCAGTTTTCTTCTTTTCATGCACCACCCTGCCTGTCATACTTTCACAACGCGCGAGTGCATCTCCCTGCGACATAGTTCTGTTCAGATAATTGAACACGTTGAGCACGATTTCTTTCGCGTCCGCTTCAGTGCTTTACGAAGCCGTCTACTTGTTCCCTGGCTTTCAGTACTTCCACTCGTGCCATTTGTACTCTAGATGGTTAAGTATAACCAAAACAGTAACCACAGAAACCACAACAATAACAATCACACAACAATTCTTATAAAAACACACAATATGCGATCGCTCAACGAAACACGATCCAATGCGTTGCCGACGCCTATGAGTCTGCCGGTCGAGGCGCGTCTTTGATTTCATTGGTTCTATCGGCGGAGAACAATCAGCCATTATTTCCATCTCTGTGCTGTTGACCACCGCAAAGCCACAGAAACGACATATGTCGTACGCTATACGGCTGTACTGGAAGGAAGCCGGGATCGAGCTCTGATCAAGTGTTGATCACGCGTATGAGTCATTACAGTTTTAAATAGTTGTAGTATAGTAGGAACTAAACCGGACCGCGCAGGCGTAGACCTCACAGAATCTTCCAATACGTAACTCTGGATTGCTACAGGAACTAGGGATTAATTGGTTTTTTTTGCTAAAAATATTTCAAAAACTACGACTACAGTTCTGCAGTACCGAACATTGTGATGCTTCACGGTCATCACGGATGCCCACAAGAATTTTTAACTGAACGGGTCCCTTGGACTCCGTCAAGTGTACAAATCAGCCCTCAAGAAAATTCGAAAAACGGGGGTATTAAGTTTTCCTATGTGAGGGGCAATATCATACACAAAAGGATTCTCAATATGCAATTTTTTTGTAGAGGGGAATCGGATTCTTATGTGAGGGATAGGGCCCACTCCGGCAGATTTCTATAATTGTATCCCTTTATAAAATTATGTAATATACAGAATATGATGGAAACCACAGATTTATTCATTTTCCGGCCAAATATTTCAAAAACAAGACAATGCAGTTTTTTCAAATGTTGTGGTTAAGTTTTGATGCTCACAAGTTTCATACGACCAAGTTTCTATAACACTGGACAACAAATTTTAGTTTTTTAATTGGATCTTGTGGGAAAAGTGCACTTCTTTGTTAATTTTGGGGCGCTGAATCCAAAAATGACAATGAAATAAAAAAATTAGTTGCGGTTTATAAAAAAAACTTTTTATTTTTAAGGATATATTAAAAAAGTAACAAGATTCATATACTTATAAGAATCACTGTATGCGCTGTCTTTTTGCTGTTCTTTTATGGATCGTTTCTGGAGCATCTCTACCAAGAGTCCAACAGTAGTCTGCAAGCATGGAAGGATTCCACTTTCCCTGGTACCTTTTTTCCATTGTTGAAATATCCTGATGAAAACGTTCGCCGTGCTCATCACTTACGGCTCCGCAATTGTCAGGAAAAAAGTCCAGGTGTAAGTGTAGGAAATGTATCTTAAGAGACATATTACAGCCCATCTTTTGATACGATGACAGCATATTTTTGACAAGGGTTTTATAGTTGTCAGCTTTTCTATTTCCCAAGAAATTAGTGACCACCAGACGGAAATCATTCCAAGCAGTTTTTTCAATACCTGTTAAAGTGTTTTCAAACTGTGTATCTTTCAAAATATTTCGAATCTGTGGCCCAACAAAAATACCTTCTTTAACCTTTGCCTCACTTAGTCTTGGAAATTTCTGACGCAGGTATTGAAAAGCTGACCCATCTCTATCTAATGCCTTGACATAGTTTTTCATTAGGCCCAACTTGATATGCAGTGGTGGTAATAAAATTTTTTTCGAATCTACTAATGGCATATGCTGTACATTTTTTTGACCTGGCTCTAGGAATTGACGAACAGGCCAGTTTTGTCTGGTGTAATGAAGTGCCTTTGCCCGACTATCTCATTCACACAAAAAACAGCAAAACTTTGTGTAGCCTAGCTGCAGCCCAAGTAAAAGTGCAACAACTTTCAAATCGCCACAAATATGCCATTGGTGCTCATCGTATTTTATGCATATCAATAGGTACTTCATATTGTCATATGATTCTTTCATGTGAACTGCATACCCTACAGGAAGAGATGGTAAAATATTTCCAATATGCAATAACACTGCCTTTAAACTCAATGTTGAACTGTCTATAAACAATCTCCATTCTTCTGGGTTATAGTTTATATTTAAAGCCGCCAGTAAGCCGTTAATGTTACTGCAGAAAACCAATTTATTCTCCATAATGAAAAATGGTTCTAAGTCTTTGTGGCGTTTACGAAAAACACATACCGAAACATCGTCTTCTAACAAGTTCCACTGCTGCAGTCTTGATCCAAGTAACTCTGCCTTACATTTTGGAAGTTCTAAATCTCTTACAAGATCATTTAATTCTGACTGTGTTATTTTGTGCGGTTGGTGGCATGACATGCTCGGTATAAAATCAGGATCTCTTGACGTTGATGGGATATCTTCTTACTGACGAATCACTCGATCGCCATGATCTGATTCGTTTTCTGATTCGCAAGTGTAGGATTCTGGGGGTTTTGGAATAGGATTTTCGTCACTGTGAGGCACAGGTCTCATCGCAGATGGTATGTTTGGGTAGTTAATAACCGATTTTTTTTTCTTGGACATACCTGTGGCTTGTCCAACACAAGGTACCATGCAAAAGTAACAATCATTAATATGATTTGTAGGCTCTCTCCAAACCATTGGGACAGCAAAGCGCATAGACCGTTTTTTGCCATTTAACCAGCTCCTCAGACTTGAAGCACATGCATTACAGCAGATGTGGGGTGCCTACTGTTTGTATTGATCACCTAGTTTACAACCGAAATAAAGCTGATATGCCTTTGTTATTAGTGGAGTAATAGACCGTCTCTGAGACGCAAAAGTCACATCACCAGACACGTAACAAAACTGATCTGGATTGTTTACACACTTTCGAGACATCTTGCATGAACGCTGTCAGTCAACTGAGGAAAAAATGGCTAATATAAAACAATATAATGTACACGTATGTATAACGTAACACAATCATGCCGATTACATCATCTTTCCTTGCCGAATATAAAAATGTAGCACGTGCATTCCTGTGAATTACAGTATATTAACACTGTCACAGCAGGAACACATATAATTACCGTATCTCTAAAACTTGAACTAATATTGAAAAAATAAGTTTCATTCCGGTTTTAGCACATTAAAAATAGTAATATTTTGTTGATTTTATTTAGGATATTTTTTGGCTGTTGATCAGTGTAATTTGTTTCTGAAAATATTGAGGTTAACATAAAAGGC